TGTCTTACTTGTACCTCAGATGGGAACACTTGTCAAAATGATAAAAATGGGAAGAAGCCATAGGGCGGGAGCGATTCTCCGGCCTGAGTAGGATAGAGTTATCACGTTAGCAGGTTGCTGTTCAGGTAGCCCCCTCAGAGCACGTCGTGAGAGCTTCAAACACGTAGTGAGGACTACGCTTACGGACCGTTAGGATGGAATCCCCAGTACCAATGTTGTGTTTGTTTACCACCCCTAATTCACCAGGCCAAGATTATAATAATTTCTTGGATAATCCTGGTAATGCTTCGAGCGATATTCCTAGAATCCTGCCTACTAAGACTCCGAAGGTCTTTTTTTATTTCCATGTAAAGTAAAGTTTATCTCCACCGACGGGCTTCTTAGACAGACGGGGCCAAAACAAATCCGAAGGCAGGTCCTTTAACAATTATCACTGATTTAACACAAGCCCAGATATGCTACTGCATCTTGGAAATTCATCACGGTTTATGCTCGTAACTAGTCGAAGTGTAGAAACCTCTTTTACAGGAAAAATCTGAAACTCCGGGCGGAACTAACAATTCAGAGGATTTCGCAGGTTTGTACCCAGACAAACGCAAATAGAAAGCAGTTATTTGTGTTTTAAGAAACAAAAACAACCTACCCTCAAAATTCGAACATCTTTTCGCGTAGGATACCGGAAATAAACGTTTCGAAATTCAATCTTTCCCTTGAACTCCGTCTGTGGAAATTCGCCTTCGTTAACATCCATCTTGGTTTGCCTATCTATAGTGCTAAAGACGTTCCTGATCTTCGTGAGTGCCTTCTGATAGTCTGGGGCCAGGGCAGCCACGCGCGCGAGGGCTTGACTCCCGAAGTTGAATGCGGCGTAAGCTCTTTAAAAACAGAAAGTAGTTGAATGCAGGCAATAAAATCTCGTACTTTTTTCCGGCAGATTGGTGGCATTTTATAGGTCTTTAGAAGATCCAGTGCATTTAAAAGATATGAAAATATCCAATTAGACATAAGCCAGGCTCCCTTGATATAAGACCTCTAACGTGTAGGATGAGTTAACCTGATGTATAAAAACATCCTTCAAAACACAGATAATGTTTATAGCAACTGGGCTTACGAAATGCCCGCAAACACTGACATTCGGTTACATGTAAAAAGCCGTGATACGTAGCGGATTATCTCGAACGGTAGTTTTGACGAAATATATATTTTTTAGTTAACGTATCGGTTTCCAAAGCAGGATTTCTTCTTTTACTGTAGAGAGTGCATGTAGCACGCTTTGATGGCTCTAAGGTCCTTACTGTTCCCCTTTGAAAACGTTGTTTAAAAGTTTTCCATTTTTTGAAACAATGCGATTTCATCCACCTCTCTTGACGTGCGTACCCAGGACAGAAATGTACGTCTTTCGTTTGCAGAATGGATTTACTTGAAACTTGTTCACGCTTATGTTAAGGTCTTCGCACAAACTTCGAATTTCGCCTAAATATCCTGCCTTCATTTTACAAAATAGATTGTGATTTCTCCTTCAACAAACAAAACAACAACACCAAAAGTATGTCGTACTGCCGACTCAAATTTTGATAACAGCACTTCGTGAGTGAAACCATCTTCTCTAACTAGATCTGAGGAACTGCACTAATTATCCGATTGGAAAAACATTGGGAGTTCTGGAATAATATTTCAGCATAATGCACGCATGATCGGCACAAACATATTATCTGGTTGACCTTTCAGAGAGTTTGGTAGGCCCACGAAATGGACACTATTTCCACAAGTTTGTTTCACGTGTCTCAATCGGCCATCGATAGGAACGTTTTCTAACGGAAATGAGCGCTTTGTTGATAGTAGGCGACTGTAGCGCAATTAATTTAATTGCCTTAAGAATTAAACATAAACGGAGTGGACGTCCGGGAGACATAGCGCTTAATAAATCAAACAGTGCTGCTATTAAGGAGGCCGCTAATACAATCATCACGCTGGTTACGGCCAACTCAATGCTTTTTTATACCTTTATGCCCACTTTATTTGTTAAAACTCAATCACTGCCGCAAAAGGACCTCGGTATTTTGGAATATCTTTACAAAGAAAGTTAAGCATGTAACATGCGTTGATGCTCTAATGAGCAAACACTGCCCAAGGTCATGGAATGCTGTTCCGTTTTAACCAAGTAAAAAATAAGCCAGAAAAGCAACTTTGTGAGGTGGGGTTGGGCTTGCTAACTGCTTAGCCTCCATCTATTTGTTGGAACATATTTTCTTTTCAGGAAGCCAAGGTAGGCGAACGAACGTTTTCGATTAATTTATCATCAGGCAAATACATTAATATAAA